CCCCCCCCCGCCAAGTACGGGGGCCGGCACACGGTGACGCTGATCCCGGGCGACGGCATCGGCCCCGAGCTGATGCTGCACGTCAAGGAGGTCTTCAGGTGGGTGCCCCCCTCTCCCCAGCCCTCTGAGGACCCCCCCTCAGTGTTGGGGGGCACCCTTGGGACCCTCCCTGCCCCCCCCCCAGGCACGCCTGCGTCCCCGTGGACTTCGAGGAGGTTCGGGTGGGCTCCGAGGCCCCCGAGGACGACGTTCACAACGCCATCATGGCCATCCGGCGCAACGGCGTCGCCCTCAAGGGTGAGCCGGGCTGGGGACACCTGGGGCTGGGAGCTTGGGGGGCTCTCTGGTACCTTGGGGACCTCCCTGGACCCCCCTGGTGCCATCCAGTGTTGCCCTCAAGGGTGAGCCGGGCTGGGGACACCCTGGGCTGGCAGCTTGGGGGGCTCTTTGGTACCTTGAGGACCCCCCTGGACTCCCCTGGTGCCATCCAGTGTCGCCCTCAAGGGTGAGCTGGGCTGGGGACACCTGGGGCTGGGAGCTTGGGGGGCTCTTTGGTACCTTGGGGACCTCCCTGGACCCCCCTGGTGCCATCCAGTGTCGCCCTCAAGGGTGAGCTGGCTGGGGAACCCCGGAGTTGGGAGCTTGGGGGGCTCTCTGGTACCTTGGGGACCCCCCTTTTAGCTTGGGAGCCCCTCTGGTGCTCTCCGGCGCGACGGCATCGCCCTTGAGAGTGGGTCGGGTTGGGGACCTCCTGTCGGTTTGGGGATCCCTTTGCAGACCCCCTGGTAGCTTGAAGACCCCCCCCTGAACTCCCTTGGCACTTTGGGGACCCCCTGGTACCTTAGAGACCACCCCTGTCAGCTTGAGGAAGCCCCCTGGACGCCCCTGGCACCTTGGGGACCCCCCCAGGCCCCTCAGGACCCCCCTTACTCCTTTTTATCCTTCTCCAGGCAACATTGAGACCAACCACAACCTGCCCCCCACCCACAAATCCCGCAACAACCTGATCCGGTGAGTGCTGGGGGGCACTGGGGGGCACTGGGGGCACTGGGGAGCACTGGGATGGGACTGGGGGCATTGGGACGGGACTGGGGGCACTGGGGGCATTGGAACAGTACTGGGGGCACTGGGGGGCACTGGGACAGGACTGGGAGCACTGGGGATCACTGGGATGGGACTGGGGGCACTGGGAACACTGGGGAGCATTGGGGAGCACTGGGACAGGACTGGGAGCACTGGGGGGCACTGGGACGGGACTGGGA